GTCACTCGAAGCGAGCAACTAAATGCAAACTAGGGGTCGAAAGAGGACAGCTAAGGGTCAAAAGTGTGGCCCATACAGGTCTCGAACCTGTGACCTTCGCGTTATTAGCACGACGCTCTAACCAGCTGAGCTAATAGGCCCGTGGCTGCAAATACCAGCATGCTAATTTGTAGCTTGACGTCACACCTTAGATTTACCTTCTGCCCACATCTCCACCAGCTCATGCCCCCCCAACACCTCAGGGCATCTCACCGCACTTCACCGCACTGCACCTCATCTCACCTCAGAATGCACCACCAGTAGCATCTTCAGCACGTCCAGATGCTTCCCCTCCACCCACACCTCCTCCAGCTCATGCCCCTCCCCACCTCACCGCACCGCACCACACTTCACCGCATCTCACCTTAGACTGCACCACCAGAAGCATCTTCAACACATCAATGTGCTTCCCCTCCGCCCACACCTCCACCAGCTCATGCCCCCCGCTGCCGAAAACTGCCGCCCAGCCGTCCACTACAGCTGGCAGCTGCACTGGCCCCGGCCCATGGAATGGACGGCCTGCCAGCTCAGCAACTGTCGCGTCAGCAAGCAGGTCCAGCATGGCGTCCCAGTGGCGGTAGTCCCAGCCCTTCAAGTACAGGCTGGACTTGAGCTCCAGTGCCACCTGCGGGGGTGGAGAGTGGTGAAGAGTGGTGAAGTGAAGAGGGATAACAGTTCATGGTATTGAGTCAGCAAGCAGGTCCAGCATGGCGCCCCAGTGGCGATAGTCCCAGCCATTCAGATACAGGCTGGATTCCAAGTCCAATGCCACAGGTTGAGAGGCATGCGGAAAGGTGGGTTACGGTGAAGAGTGGTGGCCATACTGCAATACCATGGCATCCCAGTGGGGGTGATCCAAGGCTTTAAGGTAAGAGCAGAGGTGTCTTGCATGACGATTCTGGAGAGTTCTGAGAATTCTCACCAACAGAGATTGGACATTCTAGGAAAAAAAAAAAAAAAAAAAAAAAAAAGGGTAATCTCACCAGCAGAGGCGTCTTGCTGGCTACTGCCACCTTGCGAGTCTCGTCTTTCCTCCCCGCCAGCCCTCTCGGACTCCTCGGGCTCCTGGGACTGCCCGGGCTGCCCGAACTTGCCGGGCTTCCAGACCTGGCTGAGGGCGGCGAGTCATGTTTGAGGTAGCACAGCTTGCTGGCAGCGGGGGAGTCCACGGCTCGCACAGTGAACTTGGCTTGGCCCTATGGTCTATGGGAATGGAAGAGTACTCAATGAATGTTATGAGGAGTCTCACCAACAGAGGCGTCTTGTTGGCGACTGAGACCTTGCGAGTTTCGTCCTTCCTCCCCGCCGCCATCCCTCTCGGGCTCCTGGGGCTCCTCGGACTGCCAGGGCTTGCCGGGATGCCAGAGCTTCCCGGGCTGCCCGACCGAGCAGAGGGCGGCGAGTCGTGCTTGAGGTAGCAGAGCTTGCTGGCAGCGGGGGAGTCCACGGCCTGCATGGTGACCTTGGCGCCATGGTCTATGAGGAGTTTCGCCATGCTGACGCTTCGAGATGACTCGAAATTGTACACGGCAACAAAAATTGCCGTCACGCCCTGGTTGGTGAGGCACGGGGTGCATACAGAGTAGGGATGAAAAAAAAAAACTTCCGAGCCGTCTAGAATCGCATGCTCCAGGAGGATTCGAAGTTGTACACGGTGACAAAGATGGCCATTACTCCCTGGTTGGAGAAGCACGGGGTGCATACATAAGGGAGAGGGCAGAGAGGAGGGGGATAGCACGGTGACCTTGGCGCCATGGTCGATGAGGAGTTTCGCCATGCTGACGCTGCCGGAGGATTCAAAGTTGTACACTGCAAAGAAGATGGCTGTGACTCGCTGGTTGGCGGGGCGGGGAGAAGGAGGGGGGGGGGGGTATGAAGAAGAAACAATGGGAAAGGGTTAAGTCCACGGCTCGCACAGTGACCTTGGCGCCATGGTCTATGAGGAGTTTTGCCATGCTGACGCTTCGGGAGGATTCGAAGTTGTACACGGCGACTAAGATGGCCGTGACTCCCTGGTTTGGAAAGGCACGGGGCACAAACAGAGGAAGGATGGAAAAAATAACTTCTGAGCCGTCTAGAATATCATCCTCCAGGATAATTCTCAGTTGTACACGGCGACAAAGATGGCCGTCACGCCCTCTTTTGAGGAGGGGATACGAAGTAGGAGAGGGAGGGGAAAGGGGGTCCTGATGGCTTGAATGGTGACCCTGGCATAGCACTCTCAACGGCCACCCCTTGGTCTATCATGCTGACGCTTCGGGATGACTCGTGTTGTACGCAGTTGAGAGTTGTGAAGATAGTTGCGACGCCCTGGTTGGGGGGGATATGAAGAAAAGGAAGGGGGAAATGGGGCGGCTCAATGGAGACCTTGGCCGTTTGAGCACTCTCAAAAGCCATTCCGTGGCCTATGAGTAGCTTTGCCATGCTGACGTTTCGGGAAGATTGCGATAACGCAGACACACCCACCCTCCCTCCTCGCCCTTCCTCTCTCTCTCGCTCCCTTCACTCCCTCCTCCCCCTCCCTCCCTCTTCCACGCACCTGTCCGTTGTACTCGTTGATGTCAAGCTTCCTATGCTTCAGAAGTGCCGCGACGCCGTCCACGTTCCCCGCAGCCACAGCGCTGAAGAACGCGCCCTGGTCCAGCGGATTAAGGAGCTCCCCAGGGTCGTCGTAAAGACCCAAGGCGCGACTCGACTCCTGCTGCATGGAAGAGGGTTTCGACCCCGAGTCTAGCGAAAGGCTGCGAAAGCTGTGGTGTGCAGACGCCATGTGGTTACCACCAAGTCTAGCGAAATGCTGAGCTACGTGTGTTATGTCTCTCCCGAGTACTAGACTACTAAAACTGAGGTGAAGAGATGAAATATGACAAAAAAACAGAAGCCTGCTCTAGGACTGTCCTTAGTTCGTGTATCAACGTGTGTCTTAAGACCTCAGTAGTACTAAAGCCGTCGCATATTGAGAAGATTTGGACGAAATTCACGCACAAGACCTTGGTTGGATCGATGAGAGTGCTCGTTAGGTTTCGTTACGCTGTTCCTCCTGTACCCCTTCTTCCGCTCATATATCCTCTCGAACTGACTGACTGGCCTCTCAAAACCATCTCCCACGTGCTCCTGCTGCTCGTTCCCTCCCTTGCTCCAATTACGCCAGAGGCAAATCACCGAAAGCATTTGCTTCATTGGCTTGACAAAGAGGAAACCTCCCTCTTGACAGCACCACACTCCCCACTAATTCGTGACACTGCGTGGCACTGCGCGCCGCTGCGGGGAAATGCGTTGTCGCGCTGATGTTTCTGCCACGACGGATGGCGTCACCGTGTCATCATGCTTCGACGAGCGCGTCGCATCCTATATGTCATGAGAGATCGTGAAGTGAACGGCTGGGATCGATTAGCATTCACATGCCGTTTTCTTGTTACACGGGCTTTCCAGTGAACCCAAGAGAAATCCACATGCCGTGGCCGAAGCATGGCATGTAGTTCAGCCCATGGCTCGAACGCGCTCCGGTCTGCCTAGGGAATGGTTTCAGGGTTCCACCACAGCAGCAGCATCAGCAGCTCCACTTTTGTGTAGGTGACGTGATGTCTTGTGCTGACCTGGTTTGGGCTTTCCCACACACCACCAAGCATAACTGTTGCCGAGGTGACATGCAAGATTCGTGTTGACACTTCGGATAGAAGTCACGCTGACTAAAATGTCTGTCAGTCTGATGTCATTTGGGCTTGAATACAGGTGGACGTCTGATGATTGCGCTGGTGGAGTTGAGGATTTGGTGAAGCAAAGCTACACGACATTGGCTGAATCACGAAATGGCATGGGAGGATAGAATAAGGCCTTACCAGTATCACAAAAACACTCAGTTCAACGTTAGGTACAAGTACTATTTTGTTATCGAAGAGGCACATCACGAGTTAGTCACGCAAGATCCATGAAGCGTCATACTAGCTTGCGTCAACTCTAGTTGAAACAGTAAAAGGGGTGTAGCCGACCTACGCATCCGCCCTACATCGTGCACGGCCACACAATCCAAGCCGCGATTCCTGTCCCACCGTTTCTGGATGGTGTTCGTGGTTACGAGTCTCAAATGATTTCATCACCAATTGTAGAACGCCACTAACGCACCGCGAAATAGGGGATGTAGGCTTGCAGGCTTTCGGAGCCCCTTTCCCCCAACCACGCGCATCCACGGCACAAGGGCTTTGTGGTTGGCTGTTTCGGAACGAGACAAGAAATGACATCCGCAAGTGTGAAACGCTTCCCCCACCTCACGTACTCTCAACCGGAAACAGCAAACATTCCCACTTCGCGAAAGTGGTAACTGGTCGTTGTCCTGTCCTGAACGCAAATCCTCGATCAATTCACCTGTCGTTAACCGGGTGGCGGCAGTAGCGACACCTAGCGAAACTCGGTGAGCGCGCGCTGTGCGTCGTTTTCTTGGGGTATCCGGTCCGGTCCGTCTCCTACCATCTAACCGGTGTACCTTCCTCTCCCCCCCCACCGCTCTGCCGCATCTCACCCCCCTACCTTGTCAATCCCGAGGCCAATAAACTGCGCCTGTATTGTTCCTTTTTCGACAATCCCTTCCCGCAACTGTACAGTACTGCCTGTCATCTCATCCCAGCAAACACCTATTGCTGTCATTTTCGCTGTCACGCTCCGAACTTGCCATTCTCGCCACGACCGCCAGTCCGCCTCCCTCCGTCCTCGCCGCGGGTTTTCCCACATTGCGATTCTCGCTACTGACTTATTCTGCTAGTTCTGTCTAGCACACAAGTCAATAGCTCAGCTGCGACTCGCGCTGATACAGACCGTAAACCGCCGCATTCGGGGATCGACGCCGCATTCGAGCCGCATTCGAAGTCGACGCCGTTTCCTCTTACATTCGGCGAAGGACACTACACGGACTATAAGGCAGCCGAGGACCCGTAAGTCAAGTGCCTAGCGTGCGACAGCCATTCACGATGTTTCAAACCGTCAGCACACGCGATTTCGCCAGCAAACGGCGATCGGTAAAGTTAACTGCTGCCGGCGACACTGACGGCAACGGCGAATGTCGCCGTTCAGCCCCGCGAGCGTCCACCATTCGCGGCGGCTCTTCAGGAGAAGGACGGCGAGGAGGTAAAGGAGGAAAATCATCTGCGACTGACACGACGGCGACTGCGGGGAGTTCGAGCCGAGGCCGGCGCAAATGGGCGCAGTCGGGCAGCAGCCGCGCGGCGCCATCGACGGCGGAAGATGCGGTGCAGGCGGAACTCGCGGCGACGCCGGGGCTGCTGGAGCCGATGCGCGTCGAGCTGATACCCGAGGTGAGGCTCTTGAGAGTTGTTTCCAGGAGCTGATGCCCGAGGTGATGATCGCTTGACACGAGCCTCTCAAAAATCGATACTCAATCTTCCACCTTTCGCCAACATCCCCGCTCTAGTTTCGATGCTTCCATCTCTCCTCTCTTCCCCTCGCTTTTCCTCCTTTGATTTCATGCACATGGACAGCGGCACTGCCATCTTCCGCCACATGGACAAGTGCTCCTCCGTTCCGCCGCACCTTCGCTCTTTCGCCCCTCAACTTCCCCCTCTCCCCTCCCCGTTTCCCCCTCTCCCCTCCCCGTTTCCCCCTCTCCCCTCCCCGTTTCCCCCTCTCCCCTTCCCCATCCCTCCCCCGCTTTCTTCCGCGCCCCCTCCGCCTGCCTCCTCCCCACCAGGAGGGGAAGGTGGACAGCTACCGCATAGCGGCGGGCATGAAATCCCGGCACCCCCCAGGCGTGATCTACGGCCTCCTGCGCGACTTCAAGCGCGGCCCCGCCATCTTCCGCCACATGGACAAGTGCTCATCCGTGCCGCAGCCCGATGGAAGCTTACTGGTCGTGCAGAACGTCAAGTGGCGGTTCCAGCTGTTCTCGGGGAAATTCGACCTGGCGCTCTATTGCCACTGCGACGACGCGACGCGCACTATCACGTACCGACTGTGAGTTCCGCATGTGCTTAAAATTGGGCCCGCACTTTCGTCTGGAAGTTCCAGATGATTTGTCAGGGGTCGGCTGCGCCAGTCTCATTCGCTTCAATTGCAAGTGTTTTTTTTTCTTTTTCTTTTTCTTTTTAGAAACAACTCCGATCATAACCTCACTCCGCTTTCTGTTTCCATGTCTCCTTTCCCCTTCCTTCCTTCCTCCCTCCCTCCCTCCCTCTCTCTCTCTCTCTCTCTCTCTCTCTCTCTCTCTCTCTCTCTCTCTCTCTCTCTCTCTCTCTCTCTCGCTCTCAGGGCATCTCCTGGATTCATGAAAGATTTTGTCGGCACATCAACCATCCGCAGCCTTTCCCTCTCTCACGCCCCACCATCCTCCTCCTCCTCCCTGCCTCTCACCGTTCCCGGCACAAGCGCTATCAGCCGCCCCCAGCTTCTGCTACAACCAGAGCTACAGCCCCAGGCACCTCAGCCTAAGTCCTTGCACCCGGCGCTACAGATGAAGCCGCTACAGCCGCGCCTCCCGCTACAGCAGCGGCTGCTACAGCTTCAGCAGGCGATTCCCCTCGGCCGCTTCCCAGCTCAGCTGCTGGCGTTTGGCCGAGTGGCTGTGGGCGAGCCTCGGATCGAAGGCGAGGGGCTAGGAGGGGGGATTATGGGTGGATGGCCAAGGATGGGTGATGGAGCTGCTGCTGCTGTGCCCATGGTTGCGGCAGCAGGAGCAGTAGGAGCACCAGTAGCAGCAGGAGCAGGAACAGGAGGAGCAGTAGGGAGCATGGGAGGAGGAGCTAAAATAGGAGGGGTCGTTCAGTGGAAGGGTGGCGTGTCTGCAGGTGGTGCTTCGGAGCTGGTGAAATGTGGACCGTCGGATTGTGGGTCGGAGATCGAGATCGTCCAGAGGGTCGAACCATCCAACTTGCCGCTTGGTCCTTTGAGTGAGTGCCCTGCCTCCCCTGCCTGCCCCCAAGTGTGCGTGCGTGCCCCATTGCTTCTACCTATGCTCGCTCCATTCCTCATGTGGTTGTTGCACTGTGCCCCAGCATTCATGTGCTTCTGCCGGAGTGCGTATGAGTGCACACTCAGTTGCTTCCCTTGCAACTTTCTAGTCCTTGTAACTTTGTATATCCCAGGCTTCATCCTTCCTTTTCTTCTATTTTCCTTCCGCGCTGCCCCCTTTCTCATGCACTCTAACAGCCCAGTACATATTGGGGTACATCATGACGGCCCAAATGCGAGGTCTCTTCCATGACCTGTGTGTGGAGGCAACAAACATTGAAGCGAGGAATATTGCGGAACAGGCAAGGTTAAAGTCTGTCGCCGCTGCTGCTGCTGCCAAAGCGGGTGCTGCTGGTCAGGATAATGGTTCGCAGAAGGGGAAAAGTGTTTCTAAGGTGTTGGGTTTGTGGAGTAGCATGGCAGTAGCTCCCGTTTGAGCTTATGAGGGCGAACGAATTGCTATGATGGTGTTGGGTTTGTGGAGTAGCATGGCAGTAGCTCCAGTTTAAGCTTATGAGGGCGAACGAATTGCTATGATTTTGCTTGTTTGCTTTCAAACATGTCTTGTAATCATTGTGAAGTGCACGTTTGCTTTTCTTTCCAGCAGCAGAGGTGGCGCTGGTTGGAGTGGATGGGTACCTATTTGACCTATATATATATGCAGCTTCAATAAACATGCATTTCCATTATTCTCAGTATCGAGTCCCGCCTCGGTGTTTCCAACCCCTAATCTCCATTTTGTTTGTTCGATTGGGGAAAGCTGTCATAAGTTTGTTAACAGGTGCACAGTGGTTCAAAGCGGTCAGACTTATGACGAAGTTTCATTGTGCGCAGCAAAGCACTCAACCGTTATTGACCGAATAGAAAGCATAAAGCGCAACTTCAGTGACTCTGTAATGCAGACCACATGCTAGTATGTAGACCTAGATTTCTTGCGCGTTGATTCAGCTTGCCTAGACGGATTTACCTCTAGCGATCTTAAAACTTAGCAGCGCGTACGTTTCGGTCGACGCAGTCCAAATACAAGGAGATTGCTTTGTCCTCGTTATAAGCTACGCTCACGAAGTAGGAACAATCCAGTCGCCACGAGACTCGGGGTACAAATAGCCCAGGATTCACTCACAGAAGTACAACGCTGTCACGCGTGATAATGCCACGTGGCGTGAGATTTTTGCACTCTTGAGTCGACTCAAAAGTTTTCCGCGTGGTAAGGCCAGTTGCCGTGAGATCAGATCACACTTTTCACGTCAACTGCGAGACTGATTTACGACTTTTCGTAGCTAGTATCGAGGAGTTCGAGGAGACTACTAAGCTGGACTAATGCATCTCGTTTCCTACCATTAGCTGTCGTATCACTCGAAGTTGAGTCAGCTTATAAGGGATACTACTGGTAGCGGTGTCAGTATGAGCTCCGGAGCGCATACCCAGCATCTAACCAATCCAGGAATGCCACCTGGACCTCCGCCTGGTCCCCCACCTGGCATGCTTCCAGCATCTGGGCCGTATTCAGGCAACCCATACGGAGCCGCCAACGCACATAATGCATCGTCCAATTCTGCTCCTAATTCTGCTTACGCTCCTAATCAGTCGCTTCCCCTTCCGCCTCCGCCTCCTCCGCCCACCAGCGGAGAACTTCCGCTTCCCCCTCCTCCGCCGTTCCCCCCTCCCCCCTCCGGCTCCCACCAACCAGCACCTCCTCCCCCGCCTCCCCCCACGTCCGATCCCCCGTTGCCCCCTCCCCCACCCTTCCCACCCGCGCATTCCGCGCTTCCGCCTCCCCCGCCTCCCCCATCCGGCTCGGGGACTCTCGCGCTTCCGCCACCCCCTTCCGCCCCGCATCCTCCGTCCGCGGAGAAGGGGCGGCATGCGGGAGGGGATGGGAGGAGAGACAAGCGCGGAGCTGGCGGAGATGCGGGAGACGGGCGGAGAGATAGGCACCAGCATAGTCACCACTCGCAACAGTCACAGCATCACCAGCAGAAGCCGTCACAACCAGGATCACACCCGCACAATCAGCAACACCAGCAACAGCACCAACACCACCAGCAGCAGCAGCACCAGCAGCAGCAGGGGGAGAAGCACAGGCACTCCGCGCATGCGCAGGCTGGGGGGAAGAGCAGCCACGCGGGCGGGGGGGTTGGGGGAAGCGGGGCGCTGGTCCCCGCGCGGGGTAGGGACGCGTCCGCGGGAGCAGCTGTTGGGGGAAGCGGCGCAGCAGGCGCAGCAGCAGGGGGGGCTAAGGACGAGAACCGGTTGAAACGGCCGTCGACGTTCCTGTGTAGAGTGAGGTGCGAGGGAGGGGAGTGCGGTGGGATGTGGTGGAGAGGGTTGTGAGGGCCAGGGGTTTATTAAAGGGCTTCTCCAATATCCCCCCTCATACCCCACTGTTCCTCCTTTTAGCACATTTCCCCACCTTCCCCCACACTTCCCAATTCTTCCCAACACTTCCCAACATTCACCCACTCTTTCCATACTCAACCGCTCTCCCACGGTCCCCCACTCTCCCACGCTCCCCCACTCTTTCCCCATGGTTTACCCTCTCCTCAGGTTCACCAACAGCCTACCAGAGCCAGCATCACTCACAGCCGAAGCCGCTGCCTCTCGGGGGGGACCCCCACCGATACTCCGCCTCACACTCTCTATCTCCCCCACTACCTTCCCCAACTCACCCCCCTCCTCCTCCCCTTCCTCAGCTTCACTAATTCCTTGCCCGAGCCAGCATCACAGCCGAAGCTGCTTCCTCTCGGAGGCGACCCCCACCAGTACTCCGCCTACCCCCCCATCCCCCCCCATTCCCCCCCATCCCCCCCCCCCCTCAGGTTCACTAATACTCTGCCCGAGCTAGCGTCACAGCCGAAGCTGCTGCCTCTGGGGGGGGACCCACACCGATACTCCGTCTACCACAATTTATCTCCCCCACTACCTTTTCCCCCTCACCCCCCCCCCTCCTCCCTCCCATCAGGTTCACTAATACCCTGCCTGAGCCAGCATCGCAGCCAAAGCTGCTGCCTCTGGGGGGCGACCCACACCGCTACTCCGCCTACCACGTGTCCACTCTGGAGGCGGATCACCGGCACCGCCTGCACGTGGAACGGGATTTAGGGATTCCGTTGGACCTGCTCGATCTCTCCGCCTACTGGTAAGGAGTAGGCACAGCACAGCACAGCACAGCACAGCACAGCACAGCACAGCACAGCACAGCACAGCACAGCACAGCACAGCACAGCACAGCGCAGCGCAGCGCAGCGCAGCGCAGCGCAGCGCAGCGCAGCGCAGCACATCACAGCACAGCGCAGCACAGCACAGCACAGCACAGCACAGCACAGCACAGCCCAGCCCAGCCCAGCCCAGCCCAGCGCAGCCCAGCGCAGCGCAGCGCAGCACAGCACAGCACATCACAGCACAGCACAGCACAGCACAGCACAGCACAGCACAGCACAGCACAGCACAGCACAGCACAGCACAGCACAGCACAGCACAGCACAGCACAGCACAGCACAGCTGCGCAGCGCAGCGCAGCGCAGTGCACAGCGCAGCGCAGCGCAGCGCATCGCAGCGCAGCGCAGCGCAGCGCAGCGCAGCGCAGCGCAGCGCAGCGCAGCGCAGCGCAGCGCAGCGCAGCACAGCACAGCACAGCACAGCACAGCACAGCACAGCACAGCTGCGCAGCGCAGCGCAGCGCAGCGCAGCGCAGCGCAGCGCAGTGCACAGCACAGCGCAGCGCAGCGCATCGCAGCGCAGCGCAGCGCAGCGCAGCGCAGCGCAGCACAGCACAGCACAGCACAGCACAGCACAGCACAGCACAGCACAGCACAGTCACATGCGGGTGTAAAAGCACACACATGAATGCACCCCCTCCTCTCCGCACCGGTGGTACTCTGCCTCCTACCACATGTCGACTTCTGAGGCGGACGGACCATCGGCACCTCCTGCACATGGGTGTACCATGCATGCATGCATTCATTCACACACCAGTGCTCCGCCTGCCACGCATGGGTGTCAGCGACGACCTCTTGAGGCAGATCACCGCCACCGACTGCACGTGGTAGCGGCCCTGGGGCTGGGGGTCCTTCTGGTGTTGCTTTTCTTTTGAGAACTCAAAAGCGACACGTGGCGGCGGCGCGGCCCTGGGGCTGGGGCAGACACAGTCCCCTCTCTCATTCACACTTCTAGCATTTGAGTCGACTCAAAACTAGGCAGGGAAGGGGGTGGAGAGGAGAAGTAGCAGGGGCGGGCGAGGGCCAGGCTAGCAAGGGGGGGTTTGTTTAAGGCGCCTCTCTCATTCAACCATCTACCCTCCTTCCCTCTGTGTCTCCCTTCCCCCCAGCGCCCCCCCCACGCCCACCACTCCACCCAGCATATGCGGAACTCCTGAGGGACGACGATGCGAGTGTCACGCACAGGGAGGAGGGGAGATGCACCAGCAGGGATTCTTTTGATGCGCCTCTCTCCTTCAACCAGCTCCCCCTCCTTCCCCTCTGTTGCCTCTTCACCCCCCCAGCGCCCCGCCTCCCTCTCAGCGCCCCCCGTTGCACCCAGCAGACGCGGAACTCCTGAGGGACGACGATGCGAGTGTCAAGCACAGGGAGGGCGCGGGGGCAGCAGCAGGGGGGGCGGGCGCTCTGCGAGTGAAGGAGAGGCCCACAGATGCGGGGTTGAGCTGGCTTGTGCACACTCAGTACATCTCCGCTGCTGGCTCTGGCAGTGCTCCCAAGAAGGTGAGTCAATGGCTGGCAGGTGCTGCTGGGTTGAATGGTGTGAACTGAGCTGTGTTGGGTTGATTTGAGCTGGGTTGAGCTGGCTCGTGCACACTCAGTACATCTCCGCTGCTGCCTCTGGCAGTGCTCCCAAGAATGTGGGTTGGTTACCCCCCTGCTTGTGTGGATAACTCAAAGAGAGACCCCATGTTGCTGCCAATTGGCTGGCTGAGGCAGGACCGAGTTGACTTTTGAGTTGACCCAAAAGGCAACTCAAAGAGAGACCCCTTCAAGGGCGTGGGGCAGAGGGCGTGGGTTTAAGGGCGCGGGTTTAAGGGCGTGGGTTTAAGGCGTGGGTTCAAGGGCGTGGGTTTAAGGGCATGTGTTTAAGGGCGTGGGGCTAATGGCGTGGGTTTAAGGGCGTGGGTATAAGGGCTGAGGCATGACTTTTGAGTTGACCCAAAAGGCTGCTGCCATGGGGCTGGTTGAGGCATGACCGCTTCATCTTTGAATTTTAAGCTTTTGAGCTGGCTTCTAAGCTTGCTCACTCTGATTGCTCACTGTTTTTGCTGGTTTGTCCCCACTCTCCTCTCCCTCTCATGTTTGTGACTGTACAGAGGGTGCTTAATGAAAAGGAGGCAAAGCTGCTGGCCCTGCAGCTGGAGTTGGCAGATGAGCAGATGTACAGTACAAGGTGAGTGTACATGCAATTTTATGCATGTATACATATCCAAATGAATAAAGCATATATGTATGTATAAAATATACATTAGCCATAATCAAGTCCATGTGATCATGCATATCATTCCCCCTTCTCCCTCACCTGCCCTTTCAGGTGGCTCAAACTGACTTCAATTCCTCCCTGCCTGCTGCAAATTCCCGTTTATCCCTGACCCCCTTTCTCATCTCTCGCAGGGAGGGGCAGATCCGGTACATCGAGGAATCGTTTCAGGCTGCCCAGAAGCCGCCCGTGCACCCGTCGAACCCGAGCCTTGAAGCAGTGGAAGTGTTGCCGGTGCTGCCGCTGTTCTCCCTGGCGGGCCGCCAGTTTGTGCATCTCGTGTTTGATGACACTCCTCTGGCTGACTCGCCCGCTCACATGCATCTGAAGGAGGAACAGAAGAAAGAAATGGAGGCCCGGGTGAGTCTGTAGTTTTGGGGTGGAATGGGGTTTTCCCGGGGGGATTTGGTGCAAGGTGGTGGGATGGAATGGGAGGGGATGGGAAGGGAGGGGATGGGAAGCCGCCCGTGCACCCGTCGAACCCGAGCCTTGAAGCAGTGGAAGTGTTGCCGGTGCTGCCGCTGTTCTCCCTGGCGGGCCGCCAGTTTGTGCATCTCGTGTTTGATGACACTCCTCTGGCTGACTCGCCCGCTCACATGCACTTGAAGGAGGAGCGGAAGAAAGAGATGGAGGTCCGGGTGAGTGATTCTCAAGGGGTTTCCCCCTGTCAAATCACATCACGCGTACAGTGAGGTGTATTTTGAGGCGCCTCAAATGACACATCACGCGTACAGTGAGGTGTATTTTGAGGCGCCTCAAATGACACATCACGCGTACAGTGAGGTGTATTTTGAGGCGCCTCAAATGACACATCACACGTACAGTGAGGTGTATTTTGAGGCGCCTCAAATGACACATCACGCGTACAGTGAGGTGTATTTTGAGGCGCCTCAAATGACACATCACGCGTACAGTGAGGTGTATTTTGAGGCGCCTCAAATGACACATCACGCGTACAGTGAGGTGTATTTTGAGGCGCCTCAAATGACACATCACGCGTACAGTGAGGTGTATTTTGAGGCGCCTCAAATGACACATCACGCGTACAGTGAGGTGTATTTTGGGGCCCCCTGTCAAATCACATCACGCGTACACGCATATCCCTCCACTCCTACCTCCCTGCGTTTCCCCCTGTCTCCCTCCCTCCCTCCCTCCCTCCAGGCGATAAGTAGAATTTCAAATGGTAGCAGGGAAGTGGCGTTGGGAGTTTTTTAGGGGTCTTTCGTCCTCTCTTACACATGCATGGAAACAATCTATATCCTTCCACCCCTTCCTCCGTGCCTTCCCCCCTGTCTCCCTCTCTCACCTTCTTCCCCTGACTCCCTGCTCCACCTCTCTCCACCTCTCTCCACCTCTCCAGGCGATAATGAAGAATTTCAAGGTGGCAGCACCAGGGGGAGGGGAACCACAGTCGTTCGTGGCATACATGGTTCCCAACAAGCGAGAGGTGAGGCTGACTGAGGTTGACTGAGGTTGACTGAGGTTGACTGAAGTTGACTGAGGTTGACTGAGGTTGACTGAGGTTGACTGAGGTTGACTGAGGTTGACTGAAGTTGACTGAAGTTGACTGAGGTTGACTGAAGTTGACTGAGGTTGACTGAAGTTGACTTTTGATGCTTCTTTAGAAAAGGAGGAGGGGAGCCACAGTCGTTCGTGGCCTACATGGCGCCTAACAAGCGTGAGGTGAGGTTGAGTGAGGGAGGGGGGGAGGGGGGAGGCGGGTAGAGCACCAGGGGGACGTGGCGTGCATGCTGCTAAAAATTCGAGAGCTGACTGAGGTTGACTGTGGTTGACTGAGGTTGACTTCTGAGGCGCCTAAAAAATGGGAGGGAGCCGCAGTCTGTAGTGGCTTTCATGGATTCCCAACAGGCGTGACGGAATGAATGAATGAATGAATGAATGAATGAATGAATGAATGAATGAATGAATGAATGAATGAATGAATGAATGAATGAATGAATGAATGAATGAATGAATGAATGAATGAAGGAATGAAGGAAGGAAGGAAGGAAGGAAGGAAGGAAGGAAGGAAGGAAGGAAGGAAGGAAGGAAGGAAGGAAGGAAGGAGTGAGTGAGTGAGTGAGTGAGTGAGTGAGTGAGTGAGTGAGTGAATGAATGAATGAATGAATGAATGAAGCATCGTGCGATGTGCGTTCGCTGTTTTATGTATAGTTCCAATCCAGCGTTGGGAATGGAACCTGCACCTGCTTCCCTGTATCAATCAACCTTCCCATCCCCTTCCCTGTCTGCATTTATCAGCTCTCTGGATGCAGCTTGGGAGGAAGCTGAGGGAGGGGGAGAGTGCACGGTATCACAGTTCCCTTTCTTAACCCCCGCCCTTCTTAACCCCCACTATCCTAACTTCCATGTTTTGTCCCCTCGTGTCTTGGCTGTGCGTGCAGTTGGGGAGGAAGCTGCGGGAGGGGGAGAGTGCACGGTATCACTGTTCATCCCCCATCGTATCCCCCCCCTCCCTCCCCCCCCACTCCCGCCCTTTCTTAACTTCCACTATCCTAATTCCCATTTTTGTTCCCTTGTGACTCTGCTCTGGGTGCAGCTGGAGAGGAAGCTGAGGGAGGGGGAGAGTGCACGGTACGACTGGGTTCGAGAATACCACTGGAAGGTACGTGCTGCTGCCACATGCATGATATGTTCATGAGTGATGGCTACTAGTGCCTCTTTTAGGAAGCTGAGGGAGAGGGAGAGTGCGGGAATACCACTGGAAGGTACTGATTGCAATGGCCGTTGCTGTTATTATTTCACCTCAACATACACACTCCACCCGTTTCACTCTCACTCTCTCAGGTGGCCAAGGGGGAGCAAGGGCGAGGAACCTTCCTCTTCTGTTTCAACAAGGACAGTGTGACTTACCTGGTGAGTCAACTTTTGAGTCAACTTCTGAGTCAACTTCTGAGTCAACTCAAAAGTCAGCTCCTTACCTTGTTAGTCAACCCCTCCTGGATCAGCTCCTGGGTCTAAAGTTGTGTTGTGCCTGGACGTGCCGGCCCGCCTGCAATGCGAAGTACCCTTACTGTTGATTCCCTTTCCTTCACACCCTCGCTTCGGAGGCAAATCAAGTGAAGCAGTCCTTTTCGTTCCCGCCCCCTCTCTCGTGTACGAAATCCTCATGTCACGTGATACAAGTGAATCTTTGAGACGTCTCAAATATTTCCTCATGTCACTCCAGTTTCTGCAATACCTTTTGCACTGATCAACCCTTCTCTCACCCTGTGTCATCTCATCATGCGTGTGTGTGTGTGTGTGTGTGTGTGTGTGTGTGTGTGTGTGTGTGTGTGTGTGTGTGTGTGTTTGTGTGTGTGTGTGTGTGTGTGTGTTTGTGTGTGCGTCCACCCTCGTTTCTCCAGCCCATCAGCAGAAAGAGAAAGGCCAAGGAGGGAGGCAAAGAGTTTTATTCACAGAGAGAGGCGTGGTTTGAGTCGACTCAAAGCACGACTTATTGGCAGAGAGAGGCGTGTTTTGAGTCGACTCAAAGCACGACTTATTGGCAGAGAGAGGCGTGGTTTGAGTCGACTCAAAGCACGACTTATTGGCAGAGAGAGGCGTGGTTTGAGTCGACTCAAAGCACGACTTATTGGCAGAGAGAGGCGTGTTTTGAGTCGACTCAAAGCACGACTTATTGGCAGAGAGAGGCGTGTTTTGAGTCGACTCAAAGCACGACTTATTCGCAGAGAGATGCATCTCCTCACTGTTGTTGACCTACCCATGTCAACCTCTCGCCTGCTGTCCCCTCATCTACGCCTGTCCCCCCTCATTTCCCCAGCCCATCAACACGAAGCTCACAGTGGCAAAGAGAAAGGCCAAGGAGGGAGGCAAGGCGAAGGGCGAGGAGGGAGAGCGAGTGGAGCTGCCCGTTCCCTCCAAGGTACCGTGCTGTGCTTGCCGCCCATTGCCGCCCAGATGGTGTGCTTGTCGCCCATTGCCGCACGTTGCCACCCATTGCCACCCATATGTTGTGCTTGTTGCTGGCCGGAGTGATTTTTTTGTGATGCATCAGTAACGGGTTTGTGCAGGGAAGCATATGTTAAGTAGGGACATTTTGGTGGATCTGGAACAAAAATTAGGGTCCTGGGTTTCGGGTTTAAGTAAATGGATATATACCACCAGTATCCCCTTTTCTGCACACTTGCTGCTCCCACCCTTCCATCAGATTACAGTACGAAACCGATCAGGGGAAGACGCAGAGGAGGATGATGGGGGAGGGGAGAGGCGGAGACGTGAGGAGGGTGATGAGGAGGAGGATGAGCATGAGGGAAGGAGAGGGAGGGGGGTGAGAAGGGGAAGAGACGAGGAGGAGGAGGAAGATGAGGAGGAGAGGAGGGAGAAGAGGCGGAGGTATGGGAGTGAGGAGAGAGAGGAGAGGGGAGAGAGAGGGCGGAGGGGGGAGAGGGGTGGTGGTGGGAGAGGGGAGGAAAGTGACGATGAGGGAAATAGGCACAGGAGGCAGCAGGAGCATAGGGCAGACAGTGGCAGTAGCGGTGGTGGCGGTGGTGGAGGTGGTGGTGGTGGAAGGGGTGGAAGGGGTGGTGGTGGGGATGGGGGCAACAGTGAGAGTGAGAGCGACATGAGGGGGAGAGGGGAGGAGGATGAGCGAGGAGGGAGGCAAGGAGGTGCGAGATTTGAGAGTGATGAGGAGAGGGGGGGAGGGGGCGGTAGAGGTCACAGGCGCGGGATTATTGAGAGCGATTCTGAGTGATTTGAAACATTTTCAAGCGATTCAGACCGATTCCTCGTGATTCAGATCTGCTCAGAGTGACATACAGGGATTCTGAGCGGTTGCCATGGGTCCAGATATGAGAATCGGCAGAGTTGGTGACGAATCTTCAAAGAAGCGAGAGGGTAAGCTGGAAGAGGTGGGAGAGGTGAGAGAGGTGGGAGAGGAGGGAGAGGTGGGAGAGGTGGAAGAGGAGGGAGAGGTGGGAGAGGAGGGAGAGGTGGGAGGAGTGGGAGATCTGGGTGTAAAGCAGGAGAGGTTTGGTGTTCATAGCATGGCAACCAGATGAGGGTAGATGAGAGGGATGGGAGCGAGGAGAGGAAGAGACGAGGAGGATGAAGATGAGGAGGAGAGGAGGGAGAAGAGGCGGAGGTATGATGGTGAGGAGAGAGAAGGGAGGGGAGAGAGAGCGGGGAGGGGGGAGAGGGGTGGTGGTGGAAGGGCGGCTGGAAGTGAGGATGAGGGAGATTGGCACAGGAGGCAGTGGGAGCATAGGGCAGACAGTGGCAGTGGTGACGGAAGGGGTGGGAGGGGTGATGGTGGGGATGGGGGCAACAGTGAGAGTGAGAGTGAGAGGAGGGGGAGAGGGGATGAGGATGAGCGATGAGGGAGGCAAACATCAAGGGAGTGTGGTTACCACCAGATGTCAGCAATGGCGATTCAGCAGTACCGCTATTCATTCAGACACTCCTCACTAGAATGTTCCTCTATGTTGGGCTGAGACGCCCTGAAACGCACACTGAAAGCCGATGCTGGAACGGGCGCTTATTTACTTGTTACACTCGGTTGTTCCTTGATGTGACTGCTGTGTACACATTGTGATGTGATGTGAATGCTACGGTACATGAAGGATCTTGTTATGAGTGCGTGGGTTTCACAAACGAGCTGAAATGCACTCAAGGTCAGAAGTACAGAATGTCCTAAGAAAGTCTACAAACGAGTTTATAATAGGCATGAACGAAATAGGTGAGGACCTCAGGCTAAATGAGGCTTGGAAAGGTGGCGAATGGTGCGGTGGTGCCTCGGGAGTGGTTCTGGGCGAAATTGTAGGCCAAACCCAGACGCGAGACCCCCGAAACGTACCCACCCAATCATATTACCTAGTATAGTGAAGGAAATTTAGTTCCTTACATAACTAATGGAGAAGGGTCAGGGCGGGCACCCAAATATTGTAAGCGCATGCGCCTTTATGGTAGCTTGCGAACATGACCAAATCAACATCACATGGACTACAAAAATGTCAGCAATCCGCCAGCAAAGTGGACTGCTGCCACTAGACCTCTTCCAGATGCATCCCCCCTGCCAACACTGAGTAGGAACTTGCCTTGCAGCCCAATCACAGGGTCATGCGTGTTGAGATAATATCGAGACTTAAGCACTTCAAGGATTTCGTGTAGTACAGTTAGTACAGTGCGAGACTTCGCACGTAATAGTAAAGTACCGATAGGCTGACGTCAGCAAAGCACTATGCGCTCTAGGATGACGTCAGCACGTAGCTATAGACCTCACGAATAGTCACGTACCTTTTCAGAACAGGAATAGCGTGAATAATACAGTACAGTAAGCGAACATGTACTTTACTCTAGCTATATATTTTGTATGTTTGTCATTTTATAATATATCTGATTTCAGAGACATTGATCCTGAAACATATCACTACATGGGCTTTTATTAGTCCAGACAAAGCCTTCTATAACTGGCTTTAACTCATACAAGACTTCCGCTATGACAGGAAGCTACCATCCTAAGTATTACGATCATACTCAATCATTTCAAATTCTAACAATGCGCAACCAGGTTGGGGATTTCGTTTCGGAAGGTTCCAGAACAGGGTGAATATTCCCATGCCAGCGAGGCAGAATCCGTGCCACGCATCCTCCTCTCCAGGTGTTGGTAAAGGTTTCCCGTCGATCATCGACGTGGATTCTTAGCCGCCTTACAGACGGGTCTCTACTGGTGGCCCAATTGTGCACCCTTTCTTAACTCCATTCGTAATTCTCTCTCCCTCCTGCCTGGTTGCGAAAGCCATGGCGTCCTCTTCAGACGCCCTCCTAGAGCCTCGCTTAGAGTTACGGATGACGGTTGGTTTAGCCGTACGGCGCCTGAGCCACCATAGCCACTAGCGCCGCTTGCACCCCCTGCCCCTCTTGCTCCTCCAGCGCCTCCCGCTCCTCTTGCTCCTCCAGCGCCTCCCGCTCCTCTTGCTCCTCCATCGCCTCCCGCTCCTCTTGCTCCTCCAGCGCCTCCCGCTCCTCTTGCTCCTCCAGCGCCTCCCGCTCCTCTTGCTCCTCCAGCGCCTCCCGCTCCTCTTGCTCCTCCGAATCCTCCAGCTCCATCCGCGGCCTGCAATCAACCCGTTCTCACTCTCCTGCTGCCAAGCGTCTCCGCGTTCGATGAATTCGTATCTTAAGCCGAGTTAACTAAGGGCCCTTATCAGTATGAGGACACGCCGGCACCACTTGGGACAAGACAGTCGTCGACACAGTGGATGATGTTGGCACAAGCTACGGCGTTGAGTATTGGTCGCGCGGCGGCTTACCTAGGAAATTGCCGACTTCTATTCTCCAACCGCCTTATCGAAAGCACTTCCACCCCACTACTGAAAATCATAACTCCCGCCCCCCTTCTCCCAAGAATAAGCTGACACAGAGAAAGTGACATGCGTACATGTCACAAGAGAAAATCAAGTGGCTTGTGCATCTGGAGGGCGTGAAGGTGGTGAGCGAGGTGTCACGAGAGTTGGGCATCCACCACAAGCAGCTAGGGGAGTGGAAGAAGAGTGCAGGGCTACTCAAAGAAGCTCATGCGGCACGGACGGGTTACCACAGGTGGGGCAGATCCTCATGGTATTGCGACATGGAGCTCAAGGTATACTTCAACCTTCTCAATATTTAGCGCAAAGGTATCGACATGTCTATCGGTATATTACAGAGATGGTCCCGGGTGATGATGAAGGAGCTACATCCAGAGGTGGCGTGGAAGGGGTTGCAACGGTGGCTAGAGCAGTTTCAGCGATGGTGGAATTTGAGCATCCGTGCCGAGACGAAAGTCGAGTAGAAGCTTTCCTATCGTAAATGGCCTTCTGCCTTTGATTTCACCACTATGTTTTTACAAATTTGTTTGATTCTGATGTGTCAGAATCCCAGTCACTAGACCACTGGGATAAAAGGGCTTGTTAAGTAGCGGGTCAGAGTGCGCCCATAACCTCCCAGGCGAACGTGCCTGTAACCCCACTAGGATCAATCGGGCATCCACAGTGCAGATCTACTGACATGATGTTGTGTTTCCGAATCCATTTACTGATTCGTCTTTTATGCCCGTTGTGTGTTCTTTTCCACCCCCGTCTAAAGATTGTGAGGAGCAAGTGAAAGTATTTTGGCAGTTTGTCCAAGGCAAGCGCCGTAAATACGACATCAACATGTAGTGGATAATCAACGCCGACCAGAAACCTCAGTGGCTTGAGATGCCTACAGACCGCACCGTCGACAAAGTCGGGTCTGTTAACGGGAGTGGGCCCCATCCTCGCTTTGGCAGAGCCGACTTCGTGGTCAGGTGTGTGGGGTTGCAACCGACCGTGTGCAATGGGCGACGCCGACTTTGGCGAGCAGGTCGACGAAGTTGGTCGACGTGCACGGGGCCACTACGAAGCCGCCGACGACGGGAGGCCGGCGGCCAACTTCGACTTGGTGGTCAACGAAGGGATTTGTCGACGAGGGAGGAGGGCCAACTTGTGGGCGCCGACCTAGGGAAGCCGACTTGGAGGGGTCGGCGAACAGTTGGTGTGGTCGACTTGGAGTTGGTCGACCTGTGATGTGGCCGACTTTGTGAAGTCGGTGGGTGGCTGTCGAACTGGGTGGTCGACGAGCACGTAGAACAGTTAGTCGACTTCGGCTGTGCAAGTCGACACCGGCTTGGTGTTTTCCTGGCCGACTAAGTTACCCAGGCGACGAGGTTCTGCAGGGTGCGTGACTGTCGCCCAGGTGGTTTTCGCAAAGCCGACCTCGGGCTGGTATCCCGATGTCGACGTGGCTCATCAGGCACAGACAATGGCACGTGGCCGACTTGGCACTTGCGCCTTGCACGTGACGGCGCACGTCGCACCAACCATCTGCAAGCACTTGCGAAGTAGGTGCGCGCGTGTGCATTGCTGCCACCTACGGATGCAATGCTAGACGGCTGCCTTGCTGCAGCGTTGGCAAGTTGCCGACTTGCTATGTTGGCAAGCCGCCACTTTGCAGCGTTGGAGCGATGCGGACTTGCAGTGCTGGCATGTCGCCGACTTTGCTGCGCTGGAGGTCGACCTGCCTGTGTGCTAGGCAGACTTGCTTCCATTCCTTGTTCAACCATTGTACTTAACCTTTGCTAGTGAAACTCTTGCCAATTTCGCCCTGTGAATGCGCAAGTAGAGAGAACACGAGCAATCGTTGCGATCACTCACATAACCCATGCCTTCCCCATAGTGTAGCTCCCATCGTTGTAGAGTGAATCTGCGCAGGGTCTACATCCGTGCCAATCAGAAGCGGAAAATACCAATAAGAACACGTCACAGCTATGCTGGCGTGCTTGGTGACGGCCGAGAAACTAAAACCATGGGTGTTTTTTCAAATGCGCCCGAGTTTCAAAGGGTGATTTCCGATCAAGTGAGCATCACCTGTTCGTGTATGGCATTCCTTGTTGATGCTGACTGCTTTATGCATTTTTTTTTCGTAACCACGGTACGCTTTGCATTGCAGAGGCGTTCAGACCAATGGTTGGATGGATGCCAAAGGCATTGTCCGCTGGCTCGACGAGGGCTTGAAGCCATTCATCAAGATGAGGATAGGAGTGTGCGCACGGATCGCGATGCTTGTTTGCGATTCATATTGAAGACATCTCGCGGAAGAAGTGAAGCAAAAATTCGCCGACATGAAGATCGTGCGGGCAGTCATTCCTGAAGGCTGCATGGCTGAGGTGTAGCCGCTGGATGTCTCCATCAACCATTCGTTCAAGCTAAGTGTACGCTAGCAATACCAGGCGTGGTTCGAGTAAGAAGGGATATACATGCTGGCAGCGAAAGGTGGGTGCGTTGCAATGTGATTGAACTAGCATTGTTGTTGTAGCAATGCCACTAACTGCTTCCCCCATCCATACATCTTTGAAGGCATTATCCAGTGGCTCGACAAGGGCTTGAAGCCGTTCATCAAGCCAAGGCTCGGAGTGAGCACACGGAGCACGATGCGGGTCCTCGATTCGTATTGCGAACATCTTACGGCGAAGAAGTAGCAAAAGTTCACCGACATGAAGATAATGCCGGCGGTCATCCATGGAGGGTTGCATGGCAGAGGTGAAGTCGTTGGATGTCTCTGTCAACCGTTCGTTCAACGCGAGTGTGCACCAGCAGTACCAGGTGTGGTTCGAGTAAGAAGGCATCTGATAGCAAAAGGTATATGCGTTGCACTAAAATTTAACCAGCATTGTTGTTCTAGCGATGTCACAAACTGCTTCCCCTGTCCCTAATTCTTTGTGCAGGGAACATCTGCAAGCCACCACCTGATTTGATCCTCATCCTGTAAAATTTGAAGGCCTGGGCTTACGGTTTAGGGATGATTTCACGAAGTACAGTTGATGATACAGTGTATTGCTATAAGTACAACAGTAACAAACATGCCTCAAACGGGCTTGACACATCGTGATTGTTGAGGGTGGCGGTTCCAGTCAAGCAAAATATGGTGCCACGGGAAATCATTCTCTGGTGGTTGTCGTGGGTGGGGCTTTTAGCCACGTCCAACTCACCTGCACCTCCCACCCACCACAAATTGCTTCTCTCCATGGATGCCGAGAACTAAAAATTGTATTGCTACCGGTGGCTAATACTGGACACGATTCGAGAAATGTTACCCCTTTTTATGACAAATATGAAGATACCATGACTTTAAAATCAATTACAAGTCGATATTTGAATATTGTTCGTGCATACAAGGGGGCCTATGGAGGTTTATGTATTTTTTGCTTGGAACGAAAATTGTGGGACAAAGTTCTTTCTTGGGTGTGTTGTGGGAAGTCTCCTTGGTATCGGAAGTGTAATTTTAAGAATAGAAAATGGACCCCCCTTCACAAGCCAATGCCTTCGACTCACCTCCTAATTACACACTTCCAACAGAAACTAAGATGTCTCTATATATATTTTATACATATTTTCAACGTATAGAAACATGTAGACCCCTCTGATTCACCATATGGCGCAGATATTAGATAGATGCTTTCCTCTTCTTCCTCAACTGCACTCCCCTTGCTTCCTCCTCCTCTTCTTTCACCTTCTTCAAATATTGCCTCACCAGCTCATGGTCAAAAGGACTATCCTCACACCTTGGCAACCTAGTCGCACCTGTGCTCCCATTCCCCACAGTCACCTCTTCCCCACCCACGTCTGCCTCTAACCTGGTGCCCTCTCTCCCTTCTGTGAAAACTATAGCTCCTGTCACTCTCTCGTTATAAGCCACCCTCAGCCGTTTTACTAACGAATCAACACTACTCCAGGCCTGCATCAATGGGCAGACACATGCATACGTAAACGAGCTGGTTCCGTATAATTCGCACCCCCCCTTCCGGTGAATTCTAGTCTTACCAGACTTATTGAAGCACTGTAGAAAGGATATAACATGTGTGGGTGTACACTCTGCAAGCGGAACTGGGGGCTGCTGGCGCTGCAGGTACTGGTTGAAGGAGTCCCAGTCACGAGTCTTTTCTGTTCCATACCGACTCCTGTGACTCTTGGCTCCCATCCGCTCTCCAGAGGCATTTTTCGGTTTCTCTTGCTGCCCCTGCTGTTTTATTGGCTGATTTTGCGGCTGCTGCTGCTGCTCTTGCTCCTGATCCTGCTGCTGCTGCTGCTGCTGCTGCTCATCCTCCTCCCCCTGCTGCTGCTGCTGATTTTTTGGCTGCTGGTGCTGCTGCTGGTGCTGGTTTTGTGGCTGCTGCTGGTGCTGGTTTTGTGGCTGCTGCTGCTCCTCCTCCTGCGGCTGCTGCACATGCTCTTCCTCCTCCTCCTCCTCCTCCTGCTGCTGCTGCTTCTTCTGCTGCTGCTGCTGCTGCTGCTGCTGCTTCTGCTGCTGCTGATGATGATTATTCTGCTGCTGCGGCTGCTGATTTTGTAGAATCAACTCCCCTTGTTCTGGATGCATGCTGAGACTGCGTGATGCGTTTCTCACCAAGGTTTCATTCTCCAGTGCTACCCTGCCTCTTCCATCCACCACCCAGTAATTGACAAGGCTCATGCTCATAGACGCAACGCTGGAGTAGGGTGCACTAGAGTGCAGCACACTAGGAGAGGGTACACCAGGGGAAGGTGCACTTGGAGAAGGTGCAACACGGGTGGGCACAGGAGAGAAGAACCTGTCTCTTGATGATGATCTAGGTAGGCGTGGCGGAGCACAAGGGAGAGGATCGGAGAAGGAAGTTTGAGGGAGCCGTGTGCTGGGAGCTTGACTAGCTTGATGTGCAGGAGGGGTGGCTGTAGCAGTGGTGGCTCTGCTGTCAAGGGCTGTGTATCCAGGGGCGGCTGTAGCAGTGGTGGATCTGCTGTCAAGGGCTGTGTATGCAGGGGTGGCTGTAGCAGTGGTGGCTCTACTGCCATTACCATGGAGCAGCAGCAGAGAATGAGGACTAGAAGAATGCTGGGCCAAGGTAGGGTGATACATGGAGCCTCGTGCTCGCATGGATATGAATCTGTGTGCTACAGCTGAAATTGTAGTATCTGGAGTGGGCGGCTTGCTTTTGAATGCTATAGCTGTTGATACTGCATGTGACTGGACGGTCTGTGCTACATCTGTTTCATTAGGAGCTACAGCTGCTGCTACAGCTGGTGACGCTCGAGATGCTACAGCTGGTGGCTGCTGACCAGCTACACTGGGCGAATCTTCTCCTGCTACAACCGGTGGCTCTTGACCTGCTACACCCGATGGCTCTTGATCGGCTATAGCTGGTGAATCTTCTCCTGCTACAACCGGTGGCTCTTGACCTGCTACAACCGGTGGCCCTTGACCTGCTACAGCTGGTAACCCCTTACCTGCTACAGCCATTAACCATTGACGTGCAACAGTTGGTGACACTTGAGCTGCTACAGCTGATGTCAATTGAGCTGCTACAACTGGTGGCTCTTGATCTGCTACAGCCGGTAGAGCAGTATAAACTGGTATGAACAGCGTTTCAGTAAATCCAGCATCGAATGTATCAGCAGCAGCAGCGCCTGTAGCAGAAGGAGAAGGAGGAAGCGGTGTTGGGCCTGTGCAGGTTGTAGCTGCAAAAGTTGTAGCAGCAAAATCTGCGCCCGGTACCCCAGACATTCTTGAAAAAATCAATGAGCTGCTGCTGCTGCCGCCAATGGAGCCTTGAATTCTGCTCCCACTCCCCCTCTCATTCCCCCTCTCACTTCCCCTCTCACTACCCCTCTCACTCCCAATCTCACCATCACTCCCCCACACACTCGTACTTGCATCCTGAACTTCAATCCTACCCACTCCGCCACTCCCTGCCCCACTCCCCATCCCAACGCTCCCGCCACTCCTTCTTTCCCCTCTGCTCGAGCTTTCTCTCCCTTGGACAACTCCCTGCATTCGTGCCAGGACCCCCCCCCTCTGAAAGGCATCACCACCGGTTGCTGCAGACATGGCCATGATGCCAGGCCTATCCATCTGCTGTTCATGATCTGCTGACGTGGCCATGATCCCAGGCCTGTCCGTCTGCAGTTCATGATCCCCTGACATGGCCATGATGGCAGGCCTGTCCATCTGCAGGCTTGGCGCTGCACTGCTTGGTCCCACACTGGTAGTTATTCTGTGGATGGTGGAGGAACGGGGTGGAAGCATGGAGCTGCTGTGAGCCATACAGCTGCTGTTGGACATGGAGCTAATGTGAGCCCTGCTGATGCTGCTGCCTGGTGTGTCACGTAGATAGCTGCTCCTTCGGCCAGGCAGCAGGTCTGGAATGATGGTGCTCACATCTCCGTACCGCGCCCGGACGGTGCCGCTGCGCTCATAGCCAGGATTTTCAGTCCCCTGCATTTGAGGGTTGTGGCTATTAGGAGGCAGCTGGTTAGTGGCGGGCTGCTGGTTAGTGGCAGGAAATTGGCCAGGAAGCAAGTTGGGAATTATGGTGCTGGCATCTCTGAACCGCGCCCACACTGTGTGGGTGCTGGCAGGGAGATGGCTTGTTGAATCCCCACCATAATTTTGCAGTCTTGACTGGTACCTGATGAAATCCACTCCATGCTTCCACGGTTCCTCGTCTAAGCTTTGCTGTTGTGCCGAGCCTGCCTGCACCAAGCCTGTCTGATGCACTGAGCCTGGCTGCTGCACCGAGCCTGGCTGCTTCACCGAGCCTGGCTGCTGCTCCGAGCCTGGCTGTTGCACCGAGCCTGGCTGCTGTTCCGACCCTGGCTGCTGCACCAAAACTGCCTGCTCTGCCAAGCCTAGCTGCTGCTCGAGGCCTGGCTGCTGTTCCAACTCTAGCTGCTGCACCAAGCCTGGCGGGTGGAAGTGGGATGGCTCTGACAGAGTGTGTCGGTGGTAGTATGCAGCTGGTGCTGTGGAAAGGGCGAGGCTTCGAATCCCTGAGTAGAGCTCATTAACAGTGCATGAACCTGTGCCTTCAAGCCCACAAGAAACTCCGTCCACTTGAGCTGGATGCATGTTTTGCAGCTGGTCTGGCCACTGCAGTGGAGGGTTAGGCAGTTGTGATGAACTTTCTGGGAGGTTGAATGGATGAGTTGTCAGTTCGTGCATACGAACAGGAGGCTGCATGGACTGACATGGATGCTGCATGGTATGACCTGGCTGCTGCATAGAATGACCTGGCTGTTGCATGGTATGACCTGGCTGTTGCACGGTATAACCTGGCTGTTGCACGGTATGACCTGGCTGTTGCACGGTATGACGTGGCTGTTGCACAGT